TGCTATATTACCCCATAGGCCCAGGGATGTGCAGGTTAGGTGGGTTAGCCACGGGGGATGAGTCTGGATGGGATGTGCTTCGACGGGCCAGCTCCCACACTGTAGGCATTCTGTAATACACATCCCAGGCATATGCTGCTTTACCTCAGGGCCACAGTCTCAGCCTATGTGGGGGGAGAAAGGCAGTGCTCAAGTGAGTGTCCAGTTTAATAGTCATCATCTACACATAGTTCAACAATTAACCCCAGTCAGCCCTGGGCCAGGGTGCTGGCTTAAGCTAGCTCGGGGCAACCAGAGACGGGCAATAAATGCCAGGTGAGCCAATAAGTACCCAGATTGTTAAAGGGGGGGGGGGGTTTGGGGAACGGCCCGTTAACCTATACAGGCTCTGACAGGAGGAGCATGTCCCTCTACAACACGGTCCCCTCCTCCCACTGAAGCCTCGGGCCTACAGGCCGCGGGACGAGAGATCCGCTTCGACGAGGCCCGTTAGCTGCGGGTCACCCTGGATCGGGCAAGAGGTTGGGCATTCAGCTGGGAATTTCCTTCCCTTACCTTTTCAAACAAGAAAGTAAGGGTGGGGGTGGGGTGTGGGGAGCGGTGCGTGCTGGGTCCCATCGAGGCCCAGCTGTCAAAAATGGCGGGTGACAGCGAGAGAGTGGTTGCCGTGGAAACCGCAAGGCAAGACGACTTTCCCCATGTCTGATCTCCCAACCCCCCCCCAACCCAACAGCTTCAAATTAAAGTAGTGACTGTGTTCTCAGAAGTGAGGAGGGGAAAATAGAGCAGAAATATCCAAATTGTTGGGTCGGTGATCGTTTCTCCCTTTGACCCTGATGTTGGTTTGCTGCCATTTTGGACACTGGTCCTTTCTGAACGTGTTCTGTTCTCAGTCACACTGCAGCGGTATAACATTAACCAGGGTTACTTGTGGGCTGCACGGAACAGAAAGGAACGCAGCACTCGACAGCTCCTGTGTTTATATCGTCATTTGGCAGCGACACCAGCGCGTCGCACCCTGGTAAAACATGCACGGAGATTTGGCGTTTTCCCCTGACTGTTGGGAACAAGGCCTTTCTTCTTCCGTCGATGAAGTTAAAACCGCTCCAGGAGAGCCGGTCATTCGCTTTGCTCCGTTCGTTGTTCTGCAGCCCCAGGAGGAGGAGGCCATTCTGCCCCTCGATCCTCCGCATACATCAGTCCAGCTGACGACACACCTGGACCTTAACCCTAGCCCTGGCCTGGCGATACAGGAAGACCTGACGATTTCGGTTCAGAAATTTCCAGAGGCCTGGAAGTGTTTGTCGATTGGAAATAGGAGAGAGACACAGAGAGGAAGATTTTGTATTATTCTGGCGATCCCAGTCATCACCCTTCCTCAGTTACGGTGACCAGAACTAAAGACAATTCCCCCACCCAGAATCGAACCTGGGTCTTTAAGACTCCTAAAAGCTCTGACTCCTTGAGGCGAAAAAGGCTTGAAGTCCCTGAACTGCCTTGAATATTTTTTGTTTTTACCTGCCCCCTCAGCATCTCCAAAGAGATCGCTTTCTTGCGGGATCGTGTGGCACTGTGGTATAGTGTCTGCTCCTCTAAGCCAGGAGCCCCAGGTTCAAGACCCGCCTACTGCTCCTGTAACGTCTCCGAGGAGGTTGATTCAACAATATCTACAGTCTTTTCATCTGTCTGTCTCTGTCATTTCTACGTTTCCCTGTGTCTTTGCATTCAGAAAGTAATCAGATTGACCGTCTTTGGTTCTAAAGCCGACTCGCCCATTAAAATCTGTCAGCTACAGCTTTACCCACTCATATGCTCAGGCGATGCCACCCCCCACTCACCCCACCCCCTTTGCGATGGCACCGAACCCAGCTAACTTGGACCAACCCACTCCCTTCTTCAGGAGCCTTGCCTGCCCAGTTCGCCTGCTGCTCAGGTCAGTCTCTCCGAGCCAACGGTTAGATGGCACCCACGGATGCCAGGCTACATAGCAGGCACGACAAAAAACACCGCTAGCTCGGTCATTCCCCCTTGCGCCAGTTGTGCCGAAGAGGTGCCAACTAACAGCTGGTTTTCAACCTTGAAACTTCTGCCTTCCCTTTGAATAAAAACGAACCTTTTGTGAAAATGTTTAAGCCAAGTTTATTGACCACTTTTACTTTTAAGAAAAGAAAAGCATACCACCGCAAAGAGAGACTCCTACAAAGATTTGCCTCATCAGGCTCACCATCGCCCTTAATTCCGTAAAAACCTGTCTTTTGCCTGGAAAATATTCAACGAGGTTACCTCACTGGGCCCAAGAATTCCACGGATTTGCAAACCCTTTGGGTGAAGAAGTTCCTCCTCAGCTCAGTCCTAAATCTGCTCCCCGCCTCCTATGCCCCCTCGTTCTAGTTTCACCCATCAGCGAGAACGTCCTCCCTGTTTCTACCTTCTCCATTCCTTCATATTTTATATGTTTCTATAAGATACCGCCCCCCCCCCCCCCCCCCCAATTCTTCTAAATTCCAATGAGTATAGTCCCAAGCTACTGGGGAGCAGTGTGACTTACCTACTGGGCCTCGTGTGCCACCAAAATAAAAACTTACAATGCTTTTGCTATTCCATTCTCCATTTTATTTAGCCCAGAAATGCTACATTCTACTAATGGAGGAGACCGGGGCTAGACTGAGCCAGTAAACGGTGAGGATGTACTCCGAGTAGAAGTGGTTGGTATATAAGCCTTTGTGCGATTCCGCTCACGGTGCCCACGGCGATGCAAACGCATGGGCGTTCTCTCCCTCTCTCTCTCTCTTCTCCCACCCCATGGTCCCCAAGTAAAAGATGCTGCTTAAACTGGGCACCACGAACCCTCCGTCAGCAGGAATCCGCTCCCAATTGGTAAACCTTCTGCCTCGACCTTCCGTAGCTCTTGTCTCTGTGGACGGAGAAAAGGAGAGAGAGAGGGTAACAGTCCTCCTTTAAAAAAGGGCATCAATGCAACTGGCTTCCGGAAGTAGTGGCATGTGGTCGCAGTGCGGGGCAGGATGATATGGAGGTGAAATCCCAGGTGGAGTGGCAGCGGAGTGGCAGGGGAAAGTGGATACACAGCGGTGGCTGTGGGTCTGTGGCGCAAAGAGGTCATGGTTTCGAATCCCACTCCGCAACTGTCTAAGCCATCACAACTGTGAGGGGGAGAAAGCGGGCACTGTTTCTCCACAGGGAGCTCTTCCCAGTGTCACAACAACAAGAACCAATCAGATAAAAACAACAGATTGCCTGGTCATTGATGTTTTTGGGATCTTGCTGTGCACCCACTCACCAGCTGAAATGTTGGACAGAGGCATTACTGAGTTAAACTCGATTTCTTCTTAAAAAACTTGAAACTCATTGTGTAAAAGTGTCCAGTAAAGAATTTAAAACTCAAGAATGCACCTATAAACTTTAAATTAAGGGACAGCGGGCATTTCTCATCATTGTCATTTATCAGCCTGAGTGCAAACATAAACTCGCTTCTGTGGAAGGCAGTTCTAAACTTGCAACTGATCTTTGAGTGTAAAAATGCTTCCTAACCTCACTCTGGAGAGATCTATCTTGAATGTTTAGACCATGTTCCCTAAACTGCCTGAGCAGAGGAACCCACTTCTATCTACCTGAACTACTCCCGCTAACACAGTGATCAGACCAGTTGAATCAATTATCAGAGAAGCAGGCCATTCGGACCACCGAGTGCACACTGACCCTCTGAACAGCATCCCACCCAGACTCACTATCCCTGTAAATCTGCATTTCCCATGGCCAATCCACACAGCCTGCACATAACAGGGCAATTTAGCATGACCAATACTTCCCACTGTCCTGCACAGCTTTGGACAGTCAGGAGAAACTGGAGGAAAACCGCACAGAGAATGCGGAAACTCTGCACAGGTAGTCACCCAAAGGTGGAATCGAACCCAGGGCCCTGATGCTGTGAGCCCAGCAGTGCTGGCCACTGAGCCACCGTGCCATCCCCCAGTTACAATCTTCCAAATTACAGCAAAGGCAATCTTATTTGGTGTAATCTCTCGAATCCTTGGAGCTCATTGTGGTCAAATTCTATAGAACGCCCCCCCATGGGCAGCACATCCTGCCTAAGGATATATTCCAGTTCCCTGAGAAAGGATAACATTGCATCAGCCTTTCTGTATACATTCTGTGGCAGATCATGACACTTCAACAAGCAATAACCACCAGGAATCTCACACAGGACATGGGGGATGTTGGCGATGCACGAACACTGTTTAACCATCCACTGACTGCATCCGTAAGTGTGTGTGTGTGTGTGTGTGCACGCGCGCCTGTGTTGGTGCGTCTGTGTTTGTGTGTGTGTCAGCGCGGGAGCGAGTGTGTGAGTCAGCGCGGGAGCGAGTGTGTGTGTCAGTGCGGGAGTGAGTGTGTGAGTCAGTGCGGGAGCGAGTGTGTGAGTCAGTGCGGGAGTGAGTGTGTGAGTCAGTGCGGGAGCGAGTGTGTGAGTCAGTGTGTGTGTCAGTGCGGGAGCGAGTGTGTGAG